CTGAGGGTCGTCGCCTCCTCTAACAACTTTCTCCTGTATTATCCTGCGCCATTCCTAACTATCCTATGCGGTAGGCAGCGGCTTGGTTCTGCCCCTGGCATTGCTGAAGTCCATGGGCGACGATAACAACTCACCATCAGGTGGGCCGTATGTTCGTATGCTTACAAGGGAAAAAAAAAATGTCCTAGGCTGTGTGGATAGCAACGTGGACTGAAGTGTTGAGAGTGGTGCATATCTGGTCCAAAACCCTATCCTGTCTCTTACTTTGTCTGGTCGATGGTTCTGGAGCGTATATCGACGCTTGAAAGGCAAACGTGACTAAGCGAAAATAACTGCTTTGTACATAAATGATGGCAATATCCATATTCGATGCGCAAAAAAAAAAAATTTTCTAGGAATCATTTCAATCCTACAGCTAGATTCGTTAAAATAGAATTTTTTCAGGTATTTCAACTTTAAATTAGTCTACTGTAAAGTTCACGCATTGTCGTTTAGTCACGTTTGCCTTTCAAGCGTCGATATATAAAGTTTTGCTTAATATTACGCTTAGGTTACGCTTTTTACATCATAAAGATAAAATATACTATCTCTCTGTTGTCATACAAAATGTTATGTCGTCAAATTTACAAATAAATTTTATTGGATAGAGAATCACGAGCGATCATCATGAGTCGATGTGATAACGTAAAAAACAAAAAATGTTACTCATACATAATATCGCAATTGTACATCGTAACAGCTATCTGGTAAGGCGTTTGTATGTTTGTCCGTTAACGATGAGAGGTCAATTCTGGGGCTTTCGTGTTATTAATATGCGTTATCTCGACCCCCGCGGATAAGCAGTTATCACTGGGCGGTGACTGACGTCACTTGAAATATGTTTTAAATGATTCGTTATTATTTATAAAACATTGTCAAGGTGGGTTTCGTGACGTTTGTGTAATCAGCTGTTTTAATTGATTACAGTTTGTATCCACACAGTTTCGGCATTATAAAAAGTTCGATATAAAAATGGTAATTGAAAGATAGGTAGTAACAAAATTTGATAAAAGAGATTTTGCTTATCTCTTACGTAAACTTTTTAGAATGTATTTCGTAATGAAAAACAAGTGTGTAATTGTTTTTTCATTATTTTTTTATGATAAAAAAATACTATAAGATTAATCGATTAAAAGCTTAGGCGGAAAATAACTAGAGAAAAACAATGTGTTTGTGAAGAAAAAATATATGTATAACAATACTGAAAGAATAATAGAAAATATAAAACTATAGTTATATATATTTATAGAAACTATTGTTACTGTGCAGCAGATGTGCACGAAGGTATCAAAAAATAGTAAATATACTTGAATTTGTTCTTAGCAAAAATATGTCGAATTCCCACAGAGTGGATCATAAATCATATTAGGAAATAAATTCAACTGAAATAGACAGTCAAATTTATTATTACTAGAGGTCCCGCAGTAGTCGAAATTCGACTATAATTAATTGGAATTGTAAGTTTGTACACTATTATGATTGTATTTTATACTTCTATAATCACAAATTTTGCCAAGGCTACACTATAAAAAAATATTAATAAAAAAAAACAATATTTAATCTATTCTCAATTTGACCACAGACGTCAAGAACAAAAGTTTGACAACAAGTTTGATATGTAGTGTGTGTAATGTTTTCTTTATTGACTTAATGTATCTTTTATGCATTATTTAAAAAAAAATATTAGCATTGTGCACTTCTTCTCCATATTCTCTATAAGTGTGGAAAATTTCATACTCCTCCGTCCGCGCAATTTTCGTAAAAAGGGATACAAAGTTTTTGCTTCACGTATTAATATATAGATTTTTTTGTGACAACACGCCGAGTACCTGTGCATTTAAATTTTCAAATTATCATGGCATTCCATTTTCACAAGGACAGGTAGGTGAACAAGGGCTCAGCCAGGGAGGATGGGATATGCTAACAGCTACCCGAGCGTCTCCAAGGGAGACCTAACAACTCAAGAGTAGCTGCTTCGCGAATGAATATACTTAAAAAAAAATTATCGACTACTTTGTATATTGAATGATGAAATTTGCTCTGTCTTTAATGCGTGTGCCCATTTTTCGTTATTACGCTCTTAATCTCGCATTGATAATTATCGCATACGTCACGCGCGACCTTTTTAGAATGAAAATATTTTGCTTTCCGGGGACATAATGAATTTTTTAGGTGGCGTCATGCAAATCTTGTTTTGACAATAATATTTTGAGACATGTAGATAATAACTGTTTTTGTTTCAAAACAATTATAAACGCTTATCGTCATCATTCGGGTCGGTTGATATTGCTGTTGTTCTCGGCTGTATTAATATTCATAAATCTAGCAGGCGGTTTCTGTTAATTCTAATCTTTTTTAATTTTTATAATAAAATTAATAAACACCTTAATATAATTATATCCCGTAAACAGCAAGAAATGCAGAACTTCTATATTTAATTGGTTGCTTAATTTCAACTTTATGGACACTGAAATTTTATTGTTTTTGACAGAAATCGACATAATTACTTCAATGCGCCACGTATGACACCGGTTACTTATAGGGCAGTCAAAGGGTTAAGAGACAAAATAAACAATGGCTACTTCGAAATCCCCTTTTGAGTCGCTTTTTTTTCCAACCTATTCTAGTTACCTCGAGGGGTTATACAAGATTCGCAGAACCAGTAGGTGAGCTTACGGGGCTCAAACCCGACGACGTTGCTAAGACTAATCCTAGCAAGGGCAGTGCTTCGCAGAATCTACCAGCGGATCGGAAACGCGACGCACTGAGAAGATCCGGCGAGAAACTCAGTGGGCTGTGTCTCTGGGTTAATTTACGTGGGCCCTTCGTCGCAAGCGACGGGTTCGACGAGTACGGTGAACGGTGCTTGTGGTACCTAAAAGCACCGTTAGCGGATCGGGAGGTTCCGTTATGACGTGTTTTGAGTAACACAACAGTAAGTACGCGTACTTGTGTTTTTATGGCTTGACTGCTGGTAAGCGAGCTCCTGGTGTTAAGTGGTTAACCAGTTTTAGTGGTTATCCAGCCTATAGATAGACATTGCTAGTCAATGCCATTACACTTCAAGAGAGGTCTAAATTTCAACTTGTAGTATATAATGACGGTCTCTCCATTCAAATCGTAACACTTAGATTCACCACTACCTACCAACGTTTGTAATTTTTTTTATTGCTTAGTTGGGTGGACGGGCTCACGGCCCACCTGGTGTTAAGTGGTTACTGGAGCCCATAGACATCTACAACGTAAATGCCGCCACACACCTTTTGAGATATAAGTTCGAATATCTCAATTTTTAAAGTACAACGGCTGACCCATCCTACGAAACGAAACGCATTACTGCTTCACGGCTGAAATAGGAAGGGTGGTAACTCGCAAGTCGTCCTACCGCCAGTAAATATGGTAATATCGTAATTTCCTGGCGCCGTTTTACAGCTGAAACGTGACCGATATCGCTCGCTTCTCTCAAATAATTTTCCTCCACGTACGACGTTTACCGGAAAAATAAAAGTATCAATAAATTTCAAAAGCCTTCGATCGCGGAAACACACCAATGCCGTCAGGAAATGAACACACTGATTATGGATAAAACTTATTTTAGAAATTGAATTATAACCTTTTTCGATCCTCGCTTTTATCAATATCGAATTGGAAATTATATTTTCAAATTAACTCCGCAATATATTTTGCGATCAAAAGATTTAGTGCCTTCAAAGGTACCATGTTTGTACTAGGCATCTGTTTGGAGTGTAGACTGTAGAACCTTCGTTTATCGATTTAGTTCAGGGCTTAAGGATTGACGGTGAGCCGCGATGTTCATTATTGGCCTCACCAACTTTAAGACATGAATCCGAAGTATCATTTCTATTCTAGAACGGTTATCGGACTCTTCAATTCGCAACGCAGGATGAGACGCGACAGAAATAGTCAGGACGCGAGCTCACATTACAATTTTTTTTTTTTAAGTGCTTAGATGGGTAGACGGGCTCACAGCCCACCTGGTGTTAAGTGGTTACTGGATCCCATAGACATCTACGACGTAAATGCGCCACTCCCCTTGAGATATAAGTTCTAAGGTCTCAAGTATAGTTACAACGGCTGCTTCATTTGCATTCTCTGCTTCACGGCAGAAATAGGCAGGGTGGTGGTACCCATCCGCGCGGACTCACAAGAAGTCCTACCACCAGTAGTAACATTAGTAACGTAAATCTTATAAATTTTGGAGATTTTAAATATAAACTACAAAAAGCTATTCCTTCGTCGTGGAATTATAAGGCAGGTAGGTAGTTTCTTAAAAAAATTGTTACCTGCCGGCGGGACTTGAAGCCTGGCTTAAATTAATACGACCACATTGAGTATATTCTCGACCAAATACGCTCGTATAAAAATATTTCAATTTCACTGTTATTGAAAAACGCTGTAATCTAGAAGACGTTAAATTTAAATGAAGTCGTCTTGTTTATGGTTTGACATGTTTACGTTTCTACTAATAAACACAAGGTCGAACTGTCTAACAGAAAATCCAGTTTTGTTTTTTAGAAATGAGAATGTTTACATTAATTTAATCTGCCCGATTTTCATGATTATTCTATGTGTAAATTAATAATGTAGGGTATTTTTTATTTATTTCGTTATTATTTGCATTTTTATCAAAGATATGTAATTAATGTGAGATATTTATCGACATTCTTAAGTTGGTAAAAAAATGAGAGATTTTCTTTATAAATAGCACTCTTAAAGTGATCTACTTCATTAATACAAATAAATACTAACAACTAATGTCATCAAAGTATTTTTTGTTGGAACAGCCTCTTAGGCTCCAATAATTCTGTAGAAAAAAAAAATCTTAAAATCCACCCGAGCTCACGACATCTTTTACAAGTCTTTTAATTTGCTAGCAAAATTGATTTATTACTGCTTTTTTTTTAATTTTATGTTTTTATTTTATTTTCTTTTCGTTTCAGAGTCGGATCTCACGAGTCTTTCACATGTTGGTAAGTGACTTTATGTTTTTATTTTCGTTTTCAATTATAGTGAAATTATGTAATATGTCATCATCATCATCATTAGCTCACAGCCATCCCCTGCCTTTCCCTATTTACTTATTAGGTAATACTGATTTATTTCTGCATTTTCACTTGGCTTCATTAAAAAGAAATTTACATATATACATACATATCTATGAGATTATGACATAGTAAGATACGTTAATTGCATTATTAAATTATATTAAATTGTGTAGTAAAAGCCAAAGAACAATTATTATTAGCATTCTTTGCTGATATTGAGTTAGTTGTTAGATAAAATTGCAGAAAAGCCTTCACGTACGGAACGTTTGGAATGACATAGAATAGGATTTTTAGATCCACATTGTGCACGTGCTGAGATATCTTTGTTCACCGAGTCATTTTTATGAAGTTGATTTATCAGTTCAATACTTATTTATATGTATACAAAGTTATGTATGTACGGAAAAGACTGAGTCACATATTTTTATTGTATTTATTATGAACGAATAATCTCATAATAAGCCCGTGTCATCGGAAATCATAAAAAAAATTGTGAAATCGGCCACCCATCTTGAGATATGAGTTCGAAGTCTCAGTTTTATTGTTCCACGATGTTTTTATTTTTTTACGGGCCGGGGGCTAAACCTCCCACGAGGTCCCCGCGCTTAAGGGGCGCGGGAGGTATGTGGGACTGGTCACTGGTCCGCATCTGCGATCCACAGGCTCGAGGATATTTTTAGGGACTAACCTTCAAACCGGAACGGACGTCTGCTTCGCGGCAGAAACTGCCACTTTGGATCGCCTCGATTCACTCTCGTTAGTTTTACCAAAGGCCTTCCAACAAAAGGTCATTATTCTGATGGAACTCGTCGAATCCGACGAAGAGTTCGACATACAGCTTACTTAGCCTCTTGGCGTCTTAAAATAGAAAAGTGAAAGGAAAATAAAATACTTTCAATTTTGACTCTTGTTGTTTCGTCATCATGATTTTGTCAAATAAAACTTATAATTTTATATTAATGGCACATCATCCCGCGTCTGTATAGTTGTGTTCCCTTATATCATCTGACTTAAGTATACTATTCTGTTGTTTGAAAAATAGTGTATCGATTTTGGTCGGGGTACTTCTGGAGTTCTCACAATATAAGAAATACATCGATTGAAAAAAGGATTTACAAGGATAATTTTTATCTGGACCCGACCCCACCACTTTACAAATCTGCGGTTTTTTTTATTTATTTTTTATTGCTTAGATGGGTGGACGAGCTCACGGTCCATCTGGTGTTAAGTGGTTACTGGAGCCCATGGACATCCACAACGTAAATGCGCCACCCACCTTGAGATATAAGTTCTAAGGTCTCAAGTATAGGTACAACGGCTGTCCCACCCTTCAAACCGAAACGCATTACCGCTTCACGGAAGAAATAGGCAGTGGTATCTACCCATGCGGACTCATAAGAGGTCCTACCACTAGTAAAACAGCGTTGCTGTGTCGGTTTTTGTTCTCTTGCAGCTTTCGAGCACGGACGAACAATGTTTCTTTGAATGCGTTATTATTCTGTAAGTATCTATATTATCTATATATATGAACGTATCTTATTAAAACACCATATTTAAAGTTGACTTTCGAACCAAAATCAGTTGCGTTTACGAATTTATATTTATACAAACCGAGAAAGTATTGTAAACACGACGTTCACAAATAGCATGTAGTTTCACAAATGTTTTGAAACGTTGTCATTCAAACGCCACTTTTGTTTGAGTGAGAAATTTATGAGTGTACCCTTGAAGGCCAGTAACAGAAGGCCGTCCATCTTTCTAACGTTTACGAAGTTAGAATCATTTAAATTTAATTGATCGAGAATGTGGCGTTATACTATTCAACAAAAATCAAAGATGAATAGAATTTTGTTTGGAGCAAACAAATCTGAATAAAACATGAAAATAATCAATAAAAGAATCAATCGAACAAAGACGGTTTATCCAGAATATACGTATTATGTTTCTATTTGTTTGTTTTTTTTGCTTAGATTAGTGGACGAGCCAACAGCCCACCTGCTGTTAAATGGCTACTGGAGCGCATAGACATATACAACGTAAATGAGGCGCCCACCTTGAGATATAAGTTCTAAGGTCTATAGTTATATAGTTATTGTCATATTAAATGAAGCAAACACAAACACGTTCGATTACATATTGTCATTGTTTTTATAGAAGTAATTCATTCCAGAGATCATGTACGATATTATCATTATAAATTAATATCATGTTATACTGTAATTGTAAATAATGTTTATAGGATAACCTAAAAACAGTTTTACTATCGTAGAGACATATTTACTATTACTTTTTGTCAAAAAAGCTCTCATTTCACGATCATACACTATGTTCCACTAAATATTACATTTTTTTGCGACCAACAAAACACAGACATCATTTCAATTAATACGAAGGATAGAGAAATTTGGAACTTAATTGAAATTCGACAGCTACCAAACTGGTTGGTTGGACATATCGGAAGCTGCTGCTAAACAATAGTTATTATTAATAACTAGCTGACCCGGCAGACTTCGTAGTGCCTCAATCGATGAATAAAAGACCTAAACTTTTGTATAAAATAAACTTAAAACAAATAAAAGGCATCCGTCCGACGGGAGTCACATCAAAGGAAAAACAAAATTGTTAGTTTTATTTAATTTCGTGAATTTTCATATTTATCTACCATTTAAACCTTCTCTGGACTTCCACAAATAATTCAAGACCAAAATTAGCCAAATCGATCCAGCCGTTCTCGACTTTAAGACTAACGAACAGCAATTCATTTTTATATATAACTATATAAAAATAGAAATAATTAAAAGAGAGAGTGTATTCAATTTCAAAATTTCAAGGCCCAAAATCCGGATTCACGTTGTTACAGTAATAGGTTCCGATGATCGCTTAGAACCACGGTAGAGGTACACTCATATATAAAATCGGAATTATCCTCTCATCGTTACTTTTATTATTGTTTACTGTGATTAAAATCAACAATGATTGATGTAATGCTATCACAGTTGCGCCATGCTTATTAAGCGTGTAATCGATCGTTACGTGTTTTTAAAAAAAAAACTATAGTCTTCCGCGAGCCAACGCGTCAATCATATTTGCAATATTTACACATAGCTTCCTAGTACATTTCAAGAATACTGACATTAAGCATTCAAAAGTGACGAATCAATGCAATTCCGATTCTTATAGCTAAAGTGTTAAAGAAAAATTAATCGAAACGTTGAGGCGATTATGTGGACAATAGTTGTCGTGCTAGGTTGAAGGTCAATCTGTGATATTTGAAATTCTTATAGTACACATATCTAGCACCAGCTAATGGCTTAGTAACAAACAAAGCGGTCATTAATTTATAGCCCATTTATTATAGAACAAGCCATGATATCAGTATCTTGCCCGAACAATTCTTACAATATGACGCAACCTTAAATGGATTGTTGAACCCAAAATATAATATAATATTTCTATTACAGAAACATAAGGTTATGTACAACTACTCATTTCATTTGTGTCAATTTGTGACATTATTAGCTTTAAAAAAACGCTTTAAGAACAAATTTATAAGTTGAAATACCGGATATTCGATACCTCTAATGTCGATTGTATATGGCATATTAAATTAATATTTAATTTTAGCTTTATTTAAACATATTAACTAACGAATTATAATCTTTTAATGTATTAATAGAATTGGTAAGATGCTTAGAACTTTTAACTGTTCGTATGAAATCGTTGATAATAATAATCAAAGTATCCGATGATGGAAACGCTAATAGATACTGTTTGGTTTTATTAGGAGTAGTATCAATAAGGTAAAGTAGTTCATAGTGACCTCATTTCGAGAATGCGTTTCGATTAAAGCTCATAACATTAATTGGTTCTTTGGTCCTTACGACTTAAGATGTGAATTGTTTCCTCCATTTCGTGGCATTTGATCCGTCAATGTCCGCTACAAAACATCATCTATCTTTATATATATAAAAATGAATTGCTGTTCGTTAGTCTCGCTAAAACTCGAGAACGGCTGGACCGATTTGGCTAATTTTGGTCTTGAATTAATTGTGGAAGTCCAGAGAAGGTTTAAAATGTAGATAAGTTTGAAAATACTCGGAATTAAATAAAAATAACAAATTTGTTTTCCCTTAGATGTGTCCCCCGTCGGACGAATTCCTTTTGTTTGTTTTAAGTTTATTTTATACAAAAGTTTAGGTCTTTTATTTATCGATTGAGGTACTACGAAGTCTGCCGGGTCAGCTAGTCTATTAATAAATAAGTCATTGTGAAATTGGAGTTTGTTAATAATTAGCTTTGTAATTTAAATGATAATTGAATTCGATATGTATTTGTTTGCGATTCTCATTTTGAGCTTCTCTGGATCGCATCAGTCTTCAAGCGTAAAGATTATTCTTGACAATACTGACGTCAGGATCATCAAATTTATTTTTTGCATGTGATAAACATTAAATCAGGACACGGTCAAAATTGTGTACTGATTGTAATCAAATTTCGTTTATAGTTACGTTAAGGTCGTTAATTATTTTTACACTAACTCCGTTTTCAAGTCCTCGACGACCTCGCCCTGATTTTATTAGATAGATCAAACAGCTCAGATCTTGAACTGCAAAAAATGTTTATTCGTAAAAACGTTACTTCTTCTTAAAATTCGGAAAGTGCATCGCACTTAATACACCTAAAATCACATTCCCAGACGTTTTGGCATTATACCAACTATTGTCACCATACGGTCATTTAGCGAAGCCCGATGCTTTATGTCTAGTGTTTTTGTGGTTTTGTTGTTTTCGTCTACAGGTTTGCAGTTGGCGCGCGATTAGTAAGCAATAAATGTTGATTCCGTAAACAATTTGATGAACGAATCTTCAAAGCGCCCAGTACAGAGTAGAAACTAAGATTGGCATTTTGCCATGCCAATACACAAT